AGAATGAAGTGGATGAATGGGTACTGATATGGTTAGGAATTCAAAATACATTGTTGAGTGGGAAGGAAAAGTAGCAAATAGAAACAATGTGTTTTTTACACACTGTTTTATGTAAAAACAACCTGTACAAATAATACTATATACTGTATATTCTACATACATACATATATTCGTACGAATGCAAAGAATAAAAGAATATACTAAATTGCTAACTGTGATAATGTCTGGAGAGGAGGACAGAGGACCAGGATTGAGGGTGGTAGTCAAAGGGGACTTTTTATTTCTCTATAATGTTTAAAAAATAATGCTTTTTAAAAAATAAAACTTTGAGGCTTCTTTATGATATTAAATAATTTAAAAAATATGTACTTCCCTGCCACAAGATTCCATTGGCCCATGCCCATGTAGAGGTGGAACATTCTTATAGTAAAGCAGGATTTCTGATCAGAGTCCTCAATTTTTTTTTGAGAGTTGCAACCACACCTCCTTTGTTTGTTGAACATCAAAATGCATGCTAAGTTCTTGTGAGGGAATACGACCTTGAGTCCTCCATTAGCCAATTCTTAGTGAAAGCTTAAGTCTGAGAAACAATTTTCACAGAACATTGCATAGAAAACATGCAAGCCACCTATTCTTCAAATGGTTTGTATTTTATCCTTAGTTCTAGTTTGACCTTAGAACACTTAATTCTTGGATCACATTGTTTTCACCTATTGTAAAATTGCTTTAGTTTGTGCCATGGGTCTTTACTGAGGTCATGGAATTCCTGATTGTATTTACTACTGCGGTGTTACTGAAGACATTACCCAATATACCTTGTGATATTTCTTTCTTAAAACCTGGGGGAAATTTTCTCATGTCTCAACATCAAAAATGGATTATGCTTCCCTAGAATAGTTGAACAGTTGCTTTATTTGTTCTTATGCACACTGCAAATCTTTTACCTCATTGCAGTTTTGACTTCGCTTTACCAGCTTTGAGGCTCGGATTCATATTTGGAGCTTTCCTTTAGTACCCAAACCTAGCCTCATTTGCAAGCATTTTGTGAATTCTTCTTACCTTTGATTTCGTTTTATTTTGCTTGCATTGATTTTTCTTTTATTTTAGTTTTCTCACTGATGGCAAAAGATTTTGTAAAATACTTAAAATTTTTACTTTTGTAATCCTCTTTAAACGTTTGTTTTAAAAAAATAAACAGAAGCATAAAATACATAAATAAAATCTATTTCTTCAATCAGAAACATAAAAATAATCTAGGATGTTGGCACATTGCTGTTACACAAAATATGAATAGAAACTAATAGGATAAAATTTTATAGATCTGTTTTGTTTTCACCTACATATACTGGGTATGGGTATTGGTTTCTATTGGAAATAGCCCAAATTTAACCAGTTTCTCTTCCTTAAAAACAAGCTTCAAGAAAAAAGGATGCCAGTCATCAGAGAAGAAAGATGGTAAGTGTAATGAGTTGAGTGGTGGCCTTCAGAGATGTGTCCAAGTCCTAATAGGATTTTGTTTGGAAAAAGGGTCTTTGTAGATATAACTGAATTGAAGGATGAGGTCATTAGGAGATGAGAATCTGTATTATCTAGATGGGCCTTTAATCTAACAACAAATATTTTTATTAGAAGCAGAAGAGAAGACACAGACACAAGATAGAGGCAGAGATTGAAGTTATGCAGCCACAAACCAAGGAAAACCTGGAGCCACCAGAGACTGGAAGGAGCAAGAAAGGATTCTCCTCTACAACCTTCAGAGAGAGTATAGCCCTATTGACAATTGATTTCTAACTTCTGGTCTCTAGAACTGTTAGAGGATAAGTTTCTGTTGTTTTAAACTACCTAGTTTGCGGCAATTTTTTACAGCAACTCTAGGGAACTAATACAGTGAGTAATCTAGCAAATGTGTCATTTCTGTATACTGCAGGGATAAATTTACTTTTCGGATTTAAATAGACATTACCTTAACATGGGTTGATTTATCTTTTCCCTAAGAGTCCTGAAGATTTTTCCTCACATGTCTGAAGAAGTTCATTAAGACCTTAGGGAGTTCCTCTGGAAGCCAAATATAATATTGGGCTTTATTTCTCAGATATTATATACCCTCTCAAAAACTGTCACAGAAATTCTGCTCTTTGAGAGATAAATAGGAGAATGGATAAGAACACATGGCTTGTTCATTACTTAAATCCTCACAGAATTAAATAGAGGGCCAAAAAATAACACCATGAAACTATGTAGTTGAAGATTTTGATATAACCGATATTTTAATACCACTTCACAGTTTGCAACATCCTAATATGTTAGTTATATCACTTGGTTTTCTTCACAAGAACTCTGTAGATTATTCACATTATTTATCCCTTTTTATAGATGAGAAAACTTATCTCAGATATGCTAAATGACTTGCCAAAGTTGCACAGCTAGTAAGTTGTTGAGTTCAGACTCTTAAATCAGACTAGCTTCTGTTTTTTTAAAAAAGAAACTTTATTGTGATTGACTGACAGTTATTTTTAAATGTTTTGTTCTATACTTATGAGAAACACTTCTGGTAATTAAAAGCTAATGCTGTGTGCTTGCTTTCTGAGAATATGGTAGCCTAGATTATTTGTATCAATTTTCTCTCTAAAAATTGACTAAAATTTATGGATGAAAAATAACTTCTAAAAATCATCAGAGATAATAAAATAGTAAAGAATTAACAACTAAAGGGGAGAAGAAAGGCAAGGGATTTGATCTAATATTGAAGGCATTTCCAATTCTAGCAAACGTGAGTTTTGTTTTCAGTGGACTCTCAGATCTACCCAATGGGTGATTATAATTGTATTTCTTCACATTAAACAAGATTACAAAGGGCTAACTTCAGGGTAAAAGAGAAGCAGTAATACATCTCAAGTATATCCGCAGCCTGAGTTCATGTCTCTTGGGTCATCTAGGGAACCTCTCGTCAGGAACTTCTGTTAATCAGAAGATACAATAAAAACAATGAGAAGATAAGCTGTAGAGAAGAAAATATTTGTGACATATGCAATCGACTAAAAACCCACTAGTTATCATAATACATAAAGAACTCCTATAAATCAAAAAGAAAAAGACAATCCAATTTAAAAACTGTGAAAAGACTTAACAGACACTTCATAATAGAGGAAATCTAATTAGCCAATAAGCCTATAAAAACACGTAATTGGGGAAATGTAAATTAATACCATAAATGAAATACCATTACACATCCACCAGATTCACAAAATTAAAAAGTCTGACAATACCGAAAGTTGATAAAGATATAAAACAGTGGAAATTGTCATACATGTTAGAGGGAATTTAGATTGAAACAACCCCTTTGGAAAATAGTTTGGCTTTCTCTAATAAAACTGAAGCTAAGTATATCCCATGACCCTATTTATAAGCCCTACAGACACTTGTACCCAGGTGTACCAGGACACGTGTATAAGAATGTGTTAAGAAAACAAAAGTCAATTGAGTAAATTTGAAGATCTAATTAACTTTATTAAGAGTATATCAATCAGGAAGCATCTCATTTAGCAAACAGAAAGGTGCTCTGAGGAGTTGTACAGAATGGAAGTTTTTATAGGCAAAAAGAGGGTGGGGCAAGGGAGCTATTTTCAAAACAAAATAAAACAAAAGATCTTTCAGGTCAGGTTATCCTTTATTGGGTGTGGTGGGGGGAGGGAATGTCAGGGGTCTCATTATGTAAATTATTTTACTAATGCTAATAAGGACATTTCAGATTAACTGTTTCAGTTCACATCCTAGGAGAGGTTAAGTACTGCAATTAGGTCTTGGTTTGCTGTCCCAGGGGCAAATGATTCTATTTTGGGCCTGTTATAGCTTTTTTTAACAATATCTTTTGATCAAACTCTCAGCCTGAGAGATGTGACAAAATATTAAGAAATTAGTACCACTCACAGCTACCACTAGGTAGTTCTTGCAGCTTTTGTTGACCCTCTGTGTGGTATATGTAGGTCAAGACGTTTTGGTAAATCTTGAAACATTCACAGGCCACTGCCCCAGGTTCACATCTTTTAAGACTGTCACTCTCTCATTTCCTCCCAGGCATTTTAGACCTCCCAGGCATTTTAGATCATTTGCTTAGTAGTTCGCAGCTGTGAACAGGTATTTAACCTTTCCTGGAAGTGTTAATCCAGCTACAGCAGGTGGTGTTGGCCACAGCAGACAACTCCTTGTTCACCTAAGAGATAATCAAGGGTTATTCTATTATTAAGAACAACTTTGGCCAGAGAATCTAAGGATTGGGCGTGGGGGGTGTGCGGGTGGGGGGGGGGGAGTTATAGCTTTAACAATAGGTTCTGCAATATTTTTGAGAGCTAAGGAGAGATTCCTTATTGTAGTCTCGGTTGTATTTATTTCTGACTAGGGAAGTAGGAACCTGACAAAGGAAGTGAATTCTTAATCATGAAAGCCTCCTGGTAAGTCCTTTCTAACTAGACACTGTAAATTCAGGAGAGTTGACCAATGAGGAGTCCCAGTTCATTCGTGAACAGTTAGGGGCACGGTTAGATAACCTATGAGACATTGCCTGGCTGGGCACCAGCTATTTAGGCATTCGTAGGCCCAAGGAGAATGATAACCACCAGCAAGATAAATCCTGGTAGGCACAAACCATTTCACTAAGGTGACACTGTGAATGGACTCATTCATAGGAATTGCTGCATTTACCTGTTCAAGTCAGGGGTCAGTCAAGTTTTTAACGCATACAGGAAAAAGAATCTCCTAACCTGAAATAAAGTCATCCTAAATGCCAGTAAAGATGGGTACTGCTGTTGAGATTTCTTAGTGAGTGGGGGCGAATCTGAATTAGATAATTATGGATAAATCAAAATCTTTGATGACAATTCCAGCAATCTAAAATATTATCCCCTTTAGTAATGGCCTGGGAGATATAGATGATGGTGTTATCTTTCCAGGCCAATGCTGGAGGGGAGGGGAGGGAAGGGAAGGGAAGGGAAGGGAAGGGAAGGGAAGGGAAGGGAAGGGAAGGGAAGGGACAAAATGTTTCATGTTCAGTTAAGAGTGAAGTCTTGATCCTCCATCTTGGGTAGAAGCAGTCTATGTCGATGTCAGGTACTTTTCTTTCTCATCAATTTGGTTTGGAGGTCTCCAGCATCTGTACAGAACTAGATGTCAAAGAGAGCCTGAGATGTGCATCCATGGCTCAAAATCTTCTAGTGTCATAGCAGTATCAATGGTTAGGAGAGCTTGGTAAGGTCTTTTCTAATGGGCTCGTGCCTTGTCTTCCTCTGATGATGCTTCCAGAATACCATCCCCAGGCTCTAGACTGTAAAGAACAGGATCCTTTAAATTGAGATCTGGGAAGTCTTTTTTAACCTGTTGATGAAAGACTTAAGCCTAAGACATTAAAGATGCATAGTAGCTGCTCATACTAGCATGAGTCAACAAGGGATCAGCAGAATGTTGTATGCCATAGCCTTGACAGTTTAATTTACAGCAATTTTTTACCCATCTCAATGCTCTACTTCTGAGTTGACTGTTGCCATGTTACAAGGACATCAGGATGACAAAAGTCTGGCAATGAGGGGTCATTTTTTGCAGGTGAACTTTGAACTACTAGAGCCATACCTCTGACGCTACAGAGATTACAAGACAAAGACAGATGTTTTCCAGTTGCTCCAGAGAGCTAGATTGCAGCCTGAATAATGTCAGGGGATTGACACACCCATCTACCTATTGTTGTAATGTTTCTTTCCCTCTGGGTACATATTTTTAGCTTGGGGAAGAAGGCATAAAAAAAATTCCTTTTGGGCTCTGAATATTAGCTTTTGATTTGACCAAATTTCTGATCAAAAGTTTATTAAATCCTTTCAAATATCTTGTCAGGTTTTAACCGGACAAATAGAAAATATTTCTGGCAATACTGCACAATCCCATTAATTTTAATTTTAGTTTCCCCTTGGCTGTTTAAGGGAATAATGTAGCAGTTTTCCAGAAAATCTCTCAAGTCTCATCAACTTTGGGAGGGGCTCCTGAGGAGGGTGTAGTGAAGGAGGCCTAGGTGTCTTTCATTGTTTTTCTTGTTAGCCTTTTGCTAATAATAGAGGTTATTTTGGAATCTTGAAGCCTTTTGGAAGCTTCTGCATAACAATTAAAGTAGGCATCCCATTTCTTCTTGTTCAACTGGGATCTTTTTCTCTCAAGAGCATTTCTTAAATAAACAATTTTGTTTAATTAGAATGTTTCTCATAATTACCATTGTTAATATTTTGCCCATTTTGCTAAATATCTGCAGCATCTGGGACTATAGTTGTTAAACAGGTGTCCCAGAAGGTGACAGGCTCAAATTTTTGAATATAAAGGATTGAAAAGCCTTTATCTATACAAAACAAGATAAAAAAGAATGTGCACCTTAACATACCAAGAGTTACCAAGAGATGTTACTGTGTCTTGACCAAAAGAAGGCCTTGCACACACCACCACCAATTCCCATGGAACCAGGGACTGGGGAAAGAACTGAACCAGCAAACCTCAGGAATGGGAACTGTGGACTGATTTCCAAACAAATGGAGAACTGCAGCTGCCACCCCACCAACAGTTCCCAACGTGGATTCTAGTAATAGAATCAAGGGCCAGGTTTTTCTCTATATTGGCAGTAACCAAGACATGTTACTGAGTCCTGGGAATTGCCTTCTGAAAGGCTAGGGGCTTGCCTCTGGGCAGAACCATCTGCCAGCTTAAGCTGGCCTTCCCTGTAAAAAAGAGCCAATTAGATAGGGACCTTAAATGCAAAGAGAGTGGAGCTCAAAGCTGAGAGAAACTTACAAATGTCCCTAGAAATGGCGAGAAAGAGAGTGTAGTCAGAAGGGTTCATCGGTGTCCTGCTTGTGTTTCTCCTCCCCAAAGCTGCTGGAAGTCTCTTTAGAGCTCATCACTGCAACCGAATCTGTTAAAAAACAAAATTCAACCAAGTAAATTTAAAGAACTAATTCGCTTTATTAGGTGATTTATGAACTATTTAGCAACTAGAAGGGCGCTCCATAGCGGCGTAGAAAATGGACGGTTTTTATAGGCAGAAAGAGGATGGGGCAAGGAAGTTATTTGCAAAACAAAAGAAAGGATTGTTTCAGAGCAGATCACCTTTTTGGGGGAGGGGGGATAAAGGGAATGTGGGGGTATTATAATGCAAATTACTAGTGCTAATCAGGAAATTTCAGAGTAACTGTTTAAAGTTCACATTTCTGGGAGAGGTTGAATATTGCAATTAAGTCTTGGATTGCTATCAAAAAGGCAAATTATTTTTTTAAATTACATTTATTGAGATGACAATGGTTAATAAAATTATATAGGTTTCGAGTGTTTAATTCTATAATACATCATCTGTATATCGTATTATGCGCTTACCACCCAAAGTCAAATCTCCTTCTGTCAACATATATTTGACACCTTTACGCTTTTCTATCTCCCCGCTTCCTCCTTTCCCTCTGGTAACCACTAAACCATTGTCTATGTCTGTGAGTTGTTTGTTGGTTTGTTGCTTTCAGTTTTATATCCCACATATGAGTGAAATCATATGGTTCTCCACTTTTTCTGTCTGACTTACTTCACTTAGCATGATTTTCTCAAGATCCACCCCTGCTGTTGCAAATGGCAGTAGTTCATCTTTTCTTATGGCTAACATTCCATTGTATATGTGGACGAAAGAGGGGCCACATACCAAACCTGACAGGCTCAGGGAAGGCCAGCATGGTGGGCCCTACAAACTCAGAGACTGAAAATAACCACATAGGATGGTCTGAACATAAAAATTCTTAACCAAAAGTATGTCATGGCAGGCAGTCACATCCTAGGCCTGCAGCTTTCTTGACAAAGAGAAATTAAGAAAACAATTCCATTTATAATTGCATGAAAACAAATAAAATACGTAAGAATAAATTTAATCAAGGAGATAAAAGACATTTACACTGAAAACTACAAGATATAATGAAAGAAATTGAAGAAGACACACATTTTCTATGCTCATGGGTTAAAGGCCTGATACTGTTAAAATGTCTATACTGCCCAAAGCAATCCACAGATTCAATGCAACCCCTATCAAAATTCCAATGGCATTTATCACAGAAATAGAATAAATAATCCTAAAATTTGTATGGAACCACAAAAGATCTGGAATAAGCAAAGCAGCCTTGAGAAAGAAGTGCAAAGCTGGAGGCGTCACATTCCCTGATTTCAAGAACCTTACAAAACTATAGTAATTAAAACAGTATGATATTGGCATAAAAACAGACACATAGATCAGTGGAACAAAATAGAAAGCCCAGTAATAAACCCACACATATAAGGTTAATTAATTTACAACAAAGGAGTCAAAAATATACAATGGGGAAAGGACAGTCTCTTCAACAAATTATGTTGGGAAAACTGGACAGCCACATTGAAAAGAATGAAATTGGATCATTATCTTACATGAAAATTAACTCAAAATGGATGAAAGGCTTTACTGTAAGATCTAAACCCATAAAACCCTCGAAGAAAATGTAGCCAGTAAACACCTTGACATAGCTGTGATGCTTTTTCGATTTGACACCAAAAGCAAAGGCAACAAAACCAAAAGGAAACACGTGGGGCTACGTCAAACTACAAAGCTTTAAAAATGCACAGAAAAGGAAACCATTGACTAATTGAAAAGGCAATCTACTGAATGGGAGAAAATATTTGCAAATCATATATCTGATAAGTGGCTAATATCCAAAATATATAAAGAACTCACAACTCAATAGCAAAAAACAAACAAACAAAACAAAAAAAAAACCCCCAAACATTTTGTTTAAAAAATGGGCAGAGGATCTGAATAGACATTTTTCCAAAGAAGACATTCAGATGGCCAACAGGTACATGAAAAGATGCTCAACATCACTAATCATAAGGGAAAGACAAATCAAAACCAAAATGAGATATCACTGCACACCTGTTAGAATGGCTATTATCAAAAGACGAGAGATAACAAGTGTTAGATCTGAAGGGGAATGATGGGCTTGTGACCTCAGTTTTCTTTTTGTGTGTTTTTGATCCTTTTTGATTATGTATATTAAGCAGTACTCCTAATGGCAGTCATCTCCTTGCCCCTATGAATACTATGTTCTATGAGCCACCTGTAGGAATCTTTGTAGGTTAGCTGCCCCCTGGCTGTTGTTCCAAACTTGCTGCCCATCACATTAATTATGCCCATTACCTCTGAAGTTTAAGTGCTGTCCCTGGCCTCTGGTTATTCCACAATCTTGTCATCCACACTGATACTGTGAAGCCCACTTCTGTAACAGCATCTTTTACTGTCAGTCCTGGCCTACAGAGAATAGATTTTACTGAACTTTTAACAATGCATGAAAGTCCCTCTCTTACAAGCATATTTCTTACCACCTTGGTTAATGAAGTACCTTCCAGGCCCTCCTGAGAGACATAGACAGTGATAAGTTTTCCAGGTTTACATAGGTCCATACCAACATTCCAACTTCTCTAAGCCTTTTGAGCCTTTACTCCACAGTTTGCCATAGCAGATCTGGCATCTTTACTGCATTTACTATGGGCTCATTTGTTTTTTCCAATCTTCAAGCACCATCCTAGTCGTGTTTTAGAAGTGTCACCCAGGACTCTTTTATAAGCAGGTGTTAAATCCCTTATTTAGATTTATTTCTGCTTCCCTTGATCCAGCATCACCAGGAGATACTCCCAGGCCTATTTCCTAGTTCCTGCCAGTACAGGCTTGCCAAGTCCTGCAGCTCTTTTAGCATATTTTCTCTCTCTTCCCTTAGTAAGCCTGGTACTTCTTCTGTCAGGTTTGGCTGAGACTTGATCTTCACTGAGTGTCCAGTGGCCAGAAGGAGGTGGGAGCAGATCCTGAAAAGGGCAAGGATTGCCTTGAAAATAGAGTTGCCAGATTTAGCAAATAAAAATACAGGATATAGGAGATTAGGATACTATTATTCATTGTTTATCTGAAATTCAAACTTAACTGGGCATCTTGCACTTTATCTAGCAACACTACCTATAAAGCACAGCCTTACTTGAGACCCTTTTTATAGCCTTTAAGCAGCAGAAGGGCTCTATCTTCCAACAAAGGAAAGTTGGTTATTTCTGTAGGCCCGGAGGGTTCAGGTGATTCAAAGTTCTCATTAATTCTCAGCCTGATCTTCAGCTGTTCCTCCTCTCAGGTTGCAGGAAATGAGTGTCTCTTTAAATGCTCTGGAGAGACTCTGGCTCATTCACTGCTTAAAGTTGTTGATTAGTAGAGCTGAGCCTGTGATTTTTCTCTCTGCAAAGAATCAGTAGTGATTACCAAGAGCTATCAGATTACACAGTCCTTCCGTACAGTTACGACTGCTCCTGTACCTTTCAATTGCCTTAGAGAGCAGCTCCTAAATTTTGTCAGCACAATGGAATCACCTAGGGGCTTCTAAAAACACCAGCACCTGTGTCTTACCCCCCAGCAATTGTGATGTAATTACTCTTAGGTGTGAATTACTCTGAGTTTAGAAATTTTTAAGAAATTTCCTGGTAACTTTCATGCTAATGTTAGGTAGCTAGTCAGACATGAGCAACAAGAGGAACAAAGGAATAGGGGGGCCCCAGCCCAGAGACTGCCCAAAGAACACCCTACTGGTAGTTAGAGAATCCCTCCTACATCTCTGAGACAAAGGAAAGGAGGGTCATAATCTTAGCTGGCCTAATCTGGCTACAGACACCTGTGCAGAAGGTTTCTGTCCTAGTTTGCCCACGATTAAGCTTCATTATAATACTATGTTTATGCCTGGAAGGTCATGAATCTAATTATAACAGACTGAATTCTGGGTATTCACATGTGCACTAGGCAAAGAGTTATATAGCAGTCAAGTGTCAATCAAAACGACCTCACTTGCCAAACACCTAAGAAAGCCTTTGGACCAACCATCACAGCCCTAAATATAACTCAGGCCTCTGTCTTCCCTGGGGTTACAGCTCTCCACCTTATGTGTTCTTATTTCCCTGTGATTAGCCAATTTTAGGCTTAACCCATCTTCTATCTCATAATGTGCTTTTAATAAATGAATATTTCTCATATTCACTGAATTGAAATCCATTTCCTCATCAATGATAAGGACCTAGAAGTGTGTGTTATCAGAATTCCGATCGCCACAACAGTAAAACTAGGATATTGTATCAGTTAGTACATCCGCTTGTATCTCTATTCCACTATAGCTCACTACAAGTAGGTCTTAAGTAATCCACTACCCCAACATCCAAGCAGTATTAAAAACCTAGTCCTCATTGTTATCCAACTGGTGAGTAATCCAACTATCAAATCTCACTCTTAGTTTTTACTTCCTAGGACCCTTCCTGGTAGCAACTGTCTTGGGGTAGGGTTCCCTAGAAGCAGAGTTGAAGACAGACTCTTATCCAAGTGACCTGCCAGGAATACTGTCAAGAAAAGAGAATGAGGAAGTTAGGAAGAGGGCAGAAATAAAAACTGGCGAGGATGTGGTCTAGCTGGAGACTAAATGGAGACTCCAATCTCATGTGGAATTCTAGAACATAAATTATACTGCAGCATTAGCCCATTTCGAGGCAAGAAGGCCAACCTTTTGTACCCCTACATCAGTTAATTATTGAATGAGGCCTACTCTCAGAGGGGGTGCCAGAGGCCTGGATTGTAGCTTCTTAGCAAGGGCCAGGATTAGGGTGAAGTGAGCAGGGTAAAATTCGAAAGCTGCCAAAAAACTCAGTAATCAACTTTAATGCAGTATTTTAAATAAGTTCAAATTAATCTAAAAATCATGATAAAATCAAAATTTAAATAAATATATAATTAGGAGAGGAGGTTCCTGTTTGACTAAGGGCAAGTCTCAGAGAGGAGGCAGGCATGGGTTATCATCAGTCAACATTCATAGCATCTGGGGAACGGGTGCATTGGCT